ACGCAACGCGTGCACGTATTTGTACTGATGCAGAATGAGAGAGACAAGTAGTACAGCCTAGCACATTTCACAGAGACTGCTAGATTCACTTTCGCCAGAAAAAAAATTGTTTATAGTGAATGCCCCTATAAATGGTCTTATTTTTACGATTTAGTTTCAGGGAACCCTATTTAAACACATGACAGGATGAGGAGGGGACGAGACACACCTGGGATCAGTAGACATAAAACGGGGAACACCTGGAAACAAATCAACCTAATCAGGACAGGAACAAGAAACTAACCAAATATGGGCATAGGAAGGCACATGGGGCGCAAGACACACACAAAACACGGAACAAAGTCTGACAGTATATGAGTTTATACAGTATATATATATATATATATATATATATATATATTATTTTTGACAGATTTCGTAAGGCGGGAAAGCGTGTCCTGTCTCTCCAGATATAGCACGCTGCAAATGATTGACTTTTGAGGAGACTGCCATCTGCTGTAGCGCATGTAGCCCGACGCGAAAGCTGCCTGAGAGTCCTCTGGGCTCTCTTTGCAAGGATGTCTGCTTTTGTTGCCATCACTGCGGAAATTGGCCAATCCACCTGAGCGAGCAGATGTTGCCATTTCCTCAGGGTCCAATGAGGAGGGTACATCAGCATTAGGTGCAGGGGCGTTTTCTCCGAGGACGCAAGGGAGGCACTGCCTCGGAAATATTCTGATGAGTAAATAATTGATAGTACAAAAAATAAAACAAATATTTAAACCACTCATTTTTTATAAAGTAAGGCCGAATCAAATTCCAAATCAAAACAATCTTAATCACAAAATGATCTGTTACCATAAATAGACTTTCTGTCTTTAATGAAGGTTTGAGGATGAACAAGAATTTAACTATATAAAAAGTACTATTGCAGTCATTTATGAAGTAATGTAAAAAACATACTATATACACCTCCTACACACAATGTTGAGTTTTACTACCTGTAAAGTTTCAGCTTAGGGAAGCTCTTTATGGTCAATGGTCAGTGTGTCTGTTTTTTTTTTTTCCTGATGTGATGGAAAATCAGCAAGAGGGTCATTCACCCAGTACACTGACCCTCTGCTCGCACCATATGGTAGATTTATGAGGCGTCGAGCTGACTGATAGATCTCATTTTCCACAGGTAAACTAGATGGCTTTTTCCCGGAGGACAGCTTCATAGATATGGGCGAGATAGACGTGGGCCGCAAAGTCGCCCAGCTGATCCCACCTGGAATCTTCTGGAGGTCGCAGGTCTTTATCGACCACCCCATGTACCTCAAATTCAATGTGTCCCTCAGTAAAGATGCCTTGGTGGGGATCTACGGGAGGAGAGGCCTACCTCCGTCGCATACACAGGTGGGTCGCATAAGTCCATTCAGATGATTATTTAAACAATGTTTGTTCTGTCTTTTAATCCAAATGTTGATATTTATTGTATTTTAACATTTTAAAGAGAATGGGAGTAAAAAGGGTTGACAAAAAAAAATCAGGAGTCTATTCAAGCCTGAATCAAAACCATGTTTTCTAAATAGAGCATGCATGCTAAATGTTAAGCGCTAATTGTTGATGCTTCTGCATTTTTAAAGCTAAATTGCGTAATTTATCTGGAGCTAGATGGAATTATATGCCTAACATGTTTCCCAAACATTCCCTTTGCCAAAGTTTCACCACAAACTCACACCACTGGTTGAACTAGTGTTACTAATATGTTCAGTTCAATTCAATTCAAGTTTATTTGTATAGCGCTTTTCACGATACAAATCGTTGCAAAGCAACTTTACAGAAAATTAAGTTTCTACAATATTTAGTGGTAGCTTATCAGTGGTGACTGTAAGTTAATGTACATATGGCAGAAATGTATGGAAAAATCAATTAAAGATGTAATCAAAGTGACGATGAACGATGTGTGCATATTAGGCTGGGATAGAAAGTATTTTACCATTGGAATCACACATCAACAAAACAGCCTCACGGAAAAGCTTATCCTACTTCCGTCACAAAGTTTCGGGGCTTTTTTAATTAAATCAAATATAAAGGGTCCACTTTTGTTTGTTTGTCCCTCCCATTCCTCTGTCAATAGGTTATAGATGTAGCATATACCCCTAAGATTTCATTTCATTTTGTGGCATATTATCGGCTCAAAGACTCATCTCAAAGGCTTTGACATAAACAGACACTTAATTTCAGTATCGAACACAGAGCATCTCAGCCTCCCTGTATTGATTTGGTTCATATGTGCAGTGGTATTGTGTCACTGGAAATTACTCCAAGAGCTTGGCTGATAGACTCTTTCAACTGAGCCACACTAACCAATAAGAGAGATTTTATGTTTTTCTCCTCTTCAATTTTGTGTGAACAGATTTATTTTGAGTGGGTTTTTTTTAATACCACATGTGGATACGGTAAGGTATGATGTGTTTGATTGGATTTTAGCTTTCAACGGTCCATTTATGTTCCATATTATTGCTTGATTTGTCACTTGGCTTATGCACAACTGTCAAATAAAAATGTCACGGTCATATTGTATGTAACCCTAATTTTGAAAGAAATAAGAAATTATAAATTATATTAATATAAAAATAATAAAA